CAGTTTGTCAGTAGACATATCTGTGTGTGTGTGTGTGTGTGTGCGTGTGTGTGTGTGTGTGTGTCCTCTAAATAAGCAGTATGGGAGAAATGCATTATTTTTATTAATATATATTTCTAAATAAAACGCAGTGGATCATGTGTGTGCAGTGTGTGTAATTGCCGACCGCATGTCTCAGTGGAGATGGAGGTGTTGTGCTGGAGCAGGCCCGGATTGGCTAATCGGGAGGACCGGGAGAATTCCCGGTGGGCCGGTCTGTTTTTTGGCCGCGAGGGCCGGTGTCCCTAGCTCTAGAATCTGTTGCCTTCAGCAGTCACACTTTTTAAATTAATTTTTTTTTTTTACTTGACCATATTCTTCTTATTCATTATTTTACCACAGCTCTGCTCTTTTTATCTATTGTCACAGCTGTTGTGGTCCAGTGGCTAGCACGTTAGGTTACGACGCTGCGGACCTGGGTTTGATCCTCATCTGAGTATTTTTTATTTTATTTATTTTTTTCATTTTTATTGTTAAGACATAATACTGTTACTGTTGTTGAACATTTGAATTTCTAAAGCAGCTGTTTTCTCAAAAAAAGACGTGATAGTGTAATAAGAAACTGAATTGGAAATGTCCTTATTTTAATATAGTCAGTCATGAACTGAGGTGGGCCGGTCTGAGGCTTGAAACTCCAGGGCTGAAAAGGAGTCCCACTCCGGCCCTGTGCTGGAGTGTGTGAGGGTGATCATCATATAACTGCATTATTGATATCCTGATATATGAAACTGAGTTCTTCTGCTCCATATCAGCAGCTTTACTTCAGTTTTCCCACATTTCTGCGTTATTTAGCGCTCTGCTCTCGTTCACTCGACATTTCAAACTGCAGAATTAAATTATTGAACACCATTACCAGCTATAACTGATCAGGCAGTGTTAGTGTGGTTACAGCCATCACTGACCTACAGCAGAGTTAAGCAGACACCACGCCACTTCAACACACCCACAAATCTGATATAGCACATTATGAAGAGCCAGAGTCTGATAAATGTTCATTTTACAACAGGTAAATCACGATGATGAGATCTGAAAGAGCGGATAAACAAACATGAGCGCTTGAATGACGAGATTAATTAAACACATGAACGGAAACTGGAGACTAACGGCAGGTGTTGAGCGCCCTGCAGCGGAGGAACGAGGAACTACAGCATTCACATTTACATGATCTGTGTGTGTGCGCGTGTATACACGAGAGAATGTGTGTGTGTGTGTGTGTATATATTTATATATAAATTGTGTGTGAGTGAAAGAAACTGTGTGTATTATGTTTTGTGTGTGGATGAGTTTATATTAAGTGTGTGTGTGTGTGTGTGTGTGTGTGTGTGTTTGAGTTCTGCTGTGTTTCTGATATGTGGTCTATCAGCGCCCTCTGCTGGACACAGCACAGGTTTGACAGTGTATTAGTGATATATTCACCTGACTGTATCAGTGCGAGCTGTTCTTATAATAATAATAATCATCATGAGTGTTTCAGATGAACAGGCAGCTTTGACTGAGTTTAATATGGACTGACTCTGTAGATCAGCGATGCCCAAACCTTTTCATATAAAGGGCTAAAAACATCACAGATGCCATGTGTGATTTCCTGACTTATAATAATATTTGTAATGAATAAAACACATTAATAACCCTATGAACTGATGCAGTCCAGCTTATAAACTGATAACTCACTGCAATAACAGCGTAGCTCCAGCTCAGTCTGCATTCACCTGCGCTTGCTCACTGAAGTCTCTGCACGGTCCTCTATAAACATGTCAACTCTGATCCATCCACTGTATTGAATCAGCACATTTACATTCACTCAGCTTTCAGCAATTAAACAAAGAAAACGCGACATTAGATTTCAAAAAGACTCTGTTCTCAGACCAGCTGCTGGGCCAAATCACAGCTTACCACACACCCACCCACACCCACACACACACACCCACACCCACACACACACCCACACACACTCTGCAGAGGCCATTTTCTGAAGAGGGTTTGAGGCAAGTGTGCTGTCTGTCTGTCTGTCGGCCTCAGAGTGACTCTTCATTATTCCTCAAGGCTCCGCTCATTCACCTCCAAGGTTACTCTGTAGTGTGCTCCCTATCCAGGGACCCTGATGAGTGCCTGTAGCGGTGTGTGTGTTCTCAGCAGAACTGACTGTAGACCAGATCAAGGCCCTGAACAGCAGCGGCTCACACTGTAGGACTAATGACCGCCAGCAGCCTGTACATTCTGTAAAGCGTCTATTTTTGTGTTCCACACTCACAGAAACTCTGATTGGAGGAGGAGGACTCTTACAGGTGAAGCGTGCTGAAGTGTGCTGTTTTTATTTATGCAATAAACAACAGATTCACAATGTTACAACACACACACACACACACACACACACACACACACACACACACACACACACACACACACACACACACACACACACACACACACACGTTAAACATCTTTCAGTCACACCGAACACTCAGATGATTCCTCCAGCAAGGGCTCAGGAGACTGTAGAGATGGAGCAGCGTGATGATCTCCGCCTTTCCACATTATAGAGCTGAAGGAGGAAAACAGTTCACCAAATCAGTCCTCACTCTAGAACAGCTCAATCCAGTTTACAAGAGTTTGCTGAACTACAGCGACACATATAATATATGATGAAGATTACAAATATGATGACAAAATTACACAATAATACCCAAGAGAATCGTCCATCACAGCTCATATCACAGCGTAACAACCACATGCAAAAACACCACCATGACCCCTCACTGATCAAATCCCATCATTCAGCTCAGTGCCTTATTCATCAGGGTCACCACAGCAGAATGAACCACCAACTATTCCAGCATACATTTTACTTAGCAAATGCCCCCCTCCAGGCCGCAACCCTGCACTTGGAAAACCCCCATTACACACTCATACACTACGACCAGTGTAAACATGTGCTATAGGGGAACTGATCAACTAAACTGGCCGTAGTGTGCGAGTGTTGTGTGTGTGAATGAGTGTGTATGGGTGTTTCCCAGAGCAGGGTTGCAGCTGTAAGGGCATTTGCTGTGTAAAACATATGCTGGAATAGTTGGCGGTTCATTCCGCTGTGGTGAGCCCTGATGAATAGAGAATAAGCGGCGGGAGAGTCAGTGATGATCTGCTGTGAGTATGCGAGTCACCCGTGATGATCTGCATCATTATCAGATTAAGCTGAGTCAGCTGAACACACAGCGGTTGTGACGGGCTTGAGTAAGTAATGACTCTCCTCAGTGTGTAGTGGACGTGAGCCGGCTGTAAGCAGAGTTTAAGAGGCGTAATAATCCTCCGTAATCCACTAGATCAACACTCCAGATCCTCTCAGAGACGCTCGTGTGTGTTTGCACTAACAGTAGATGGAGACGAGGACGAGACTCAACATCTGCTGGAGAAGCGGAGCTTCATCATCATCATCATCATCATCATCATCACCAGCGCACACAGGTAACTATAACTCCACTGTACAGCAGTGCACGTGTAAAAAACAGGCTGGGATAGTTGGCGGTTCATTCTGCTGTGGCAACCCCTGATGAATTAAGGGACTAAGCAGCAAAATGAATGGAAGCAAACACTCTCACTCTGCGTGTGTGTGTATATGTGTGTGTGTGTGTGCGCGTGTGTGTGTGTTCTCTGGCCTTCTGCTCCTCGAGTCTCTCATACAGCATCACTAGATGACAGGATGGAGCGGCAGCAGCATCATACACACCTCTGCAGTGTGAACACGTCCTCATCATGTATTTTCACTTGTGAAGTGTGAACACAGATGATTAAACCAAATCTCAGCGGTGTTTCCTCCTGCTGACCACCAGAGGGCTCCATTATGCTCCATTCACACAGGGTGTCAGGTCAACACTGGACAGAGGGCGTGTCTAAAGTTAGGGCTGGCGTGATCATCACAGCTGCGTCAGCCAGTGAAATTAGACTGCAATCAGCGACTGTCTGAGCTGGGGTATTTGCATAAAGCAGTCTGATTGGCTGGCGCTTCTGTTGGTGATTGGAACATTAAGAAATTCTGCAGCGAGCGATGCCACTGAAGCGGCGCTGACAGACCCACAATGCAGTTCAGCAATGCCTTTTGAATCAGGAGTTGCAGATCACTGATAGCCTCACTCTGAACTCAGTTTCCCATAATCCCCAGCGCAGCACCCATAATCCCCATCTACAGCAGTCATCCAGCCAATCACACGCGGCCCTGCAGCCTGGCGGAGCTGCTGTCTGACTGGAGTTGTGCTGGTCTGGACATGATCTGTGATGTGTTCTGTCTGTGTTTGCGGTTTATCTTCACTTTAGCTGAGATTATTCTCGCTCGTGTGTCTGCGTCACTGCTGCTGTGGAGAAAGTGGATCCTCACTGCAGCCATGCAGCGCTCCCGTCACCCAGCTCCAGCGCTGTACACATTCAGTCAGTCACTCTCCTTCAGCTCAGTCCCTTATTCATCAGGGGTCGCCTCAGTGGAATGAACCACCAACTATTCCAGCATACGTTTTATACAGCGGATGCCCTTCCAGCTGCAACCCAGTACTGGGAAACACCCATACACACTCACACACTACGGCCAGTGTAGTTGATCAGTTCCCCTATAGCGCATGTGTTTGGACTGTAACCGGAGCACCCGGAGGAAACCCACGCCAACACTGGGAGAACATGCAAACTCCACACAGAAACACCAACTGACCCAGCCGAGACTTGAGCCAGTGACCTGAGTGCAGTGAGGCGACAGTAGTGTCCTGCTATAAAGATGATCCCCTTTAGCTGCTCAGTGTGAGTGTGTGTGTTCTGTGTGTGTGTGTGTGTTCTGTGTGTGTGTGTGTGTGTGTGTGTGTGTGTGTGTGATGAACAAAAGCAGCTTGGACAGAAGTGCACATTCTCACCTGGACCTCCACAATAGACCCCTGCGTCTCCATGGAAACCAGACAGCCTGAGGATGAAGAGCCAATCAACTGTGGACACGCCTCCAGCAGCTGACAGCCAATAGAAGCACACTCCAGCCTGACAGACAGAGAGTGATGAATATTCATGATGATGACAGAGTTAAACAGCAGCACTCACACACCTTTCAGCTCACCGTCAGCCAGACGACCAATCACAGCCCTCCACTAGAGATGAGCACTGTGGGCTCCACATCACAGTACTGATGACAGATCAGCTGCATCCACCAGGAGGCGCTACAGCATCCGCAGAGAAAGGGTCTCATATACATTTGAATCACCCAGAGTCAGGTCAGTACGTGTGCGCCGGGATGGCCATGAGCCACACACACACACACACACACACACACACACACACACACACACACACACACACACACACACACACACACGGCAGAACAGAAAACAGCACTGACAGAATCATGAGAGATTAATTCTGAATGTTTATTGTAAGACTGGGTCAGCGGGTCTCTGTTGGGTCAGTATTTGGGTCAGTGTTTGGTCTGCTGGGTCAGTGTTTGGTCCGCTGGGTCAGTGTTTGGTCTGCTGGGTCAGTGTTTGGTCTGCTGGGTCAGTGTTTGGTCTGCTGGGTCAGTGTTTGGTCTGCTGGGTCAGTGTTGGGTCCGCTGGGTCAGTGTTTGGTCTGTTGGGTCAGTGTTTGGTCTGTTGGGTCAGTGTTTGGTCTGCTGGGTCAGTATTTGCTGAGCAGGTCTCTGCTGGG